ACTTTTAAATTATACATTCTCATTATAGGTGCGCACAGTGACAACATATTGCCTGATTTAAATGACACTCCAATTGAAAAATGTATTAAAAGTTTGATTCTCATATTAATTTTTCGTCTAAAGTATATCAAAAGTTCAAAAAATTATTATTTAATAGGAACTCTTTCAATTAATACTAACAATCCTACTACATTGTAGATGTGCAAATGCATAATTCTCTGGTAGATTTAAATGAAACTCCAATAATGTAAGGTAAGCATTTGAAATTCATATTTTTATTAGTTAAAAGTAAAATACAATGTTAAGATTAATGAAAATTAATTAGTGCAACTCTCTTACTAGAAATCGGGGCTGCAATAAACAACACTGTCATTCAGTATGTTTCTATGAGATATTGGTTTACTTTTAAATAATGACCTTATACTAGATGTGGCTATATGAATCTAAAATTACTTAATTGACTATCTTCAAGAGAAATATTTTGGCATTGTTTCAAGTTCTAACACCCGAAATATAGAAACTATTTTTTTCAGAATGATAGTATCCTAAGAAGTGAACTGGCAACTAAAAGTTGTAAGTTTAGGAGTATATGTCAAAATACTGTACGTTAACGCATTGTATCATCTTGATGTAATTATGGAGATTGTTGAGTTGTCTTTACCAATACTTGAATTCTGGATTCAACTTGCGCGTCTCGTCCACTAATGTTTATGAATCATAGTAAATTAAAAAGAATGGCTTTTGTTTCATTGAAGTCTTAACTGACTAGACAACTTAGTATGTCTGTATAGACTACAGGTAGAGTATGCAATGAAGGGAAGCTTCTCTAGGAGAGCCTATGGATGATCAGGGGAGTAGAAGTAGGAGTAGTAATAGTCTTAGATCAATATACACTTACAAATTATACATGTAACAGGGCAGTTGCCAAATAACATAGGATATGAAGATGATGAAGAGTATCCAAGTATGACAACCATATCTTTGCACTTTTCAGTTATTATTAAAGAAAGAATCTATATTGACAAACATAGATGTATATATTAATAATCCATCCCTATATGTGACGAAATTTACACTGAAGGTACTTATCAGATACTCCTTATTCACTCAACATAGTTGGATAAAATAAATCAATAATCTCTGTCTTTGACTTTGTATATTATTGCACGTATAGATTACTGGGACATAGGAGATGCTACATATGAATGCGAAAAGTGCGGTGCTATTTTTTGGTATGAAGTAAGAATCCACAAGCATTACAACTCAAAAACACCTATTTTCACAATGTGTTGTGATCGTGGAAAAATAAAGCTTCCAGATCTTAAGAAGCCTCCTGAAGTTTTGAAACAACTTTTATTTTGATTAGGTTAGAGGAATTATAACTTTTAATATCAACATGTTCATATCGTCTTATATTCACTGTATCATTTTGCAATGGTTTTAATATAGGTCCTAAAAATAGTCATTTTCGAGAAAATATTAGGAGTTATAACTCTATCTTCTCATTTACGTCAATGGGGGGTAAGGTTGATGTCTCTATCAACTAGAAAAGAGGGCCAAGAACGTTCAGATTATGTGGTCAAAACTATCATCATCAAATTGGGAGCTTAATACCTCCTGAAGGATCTACTCCAAAATTTGCACAGTTAAATATATATGACACAGAGAATGAAGTTACAAATAGAATCAATGCTTTCAGGTTAGTCTTATACCTTTATTATATAATACTATGAAAATAACATTTAATTTAAAAACCTTTATTGATATCATATATTTTTTCAGTCGGGGCCAAGATATTAATAAACTTCATGCTGAAATTATTTCTGATCTGAAACAAATGCTTGATGACAATAATGTTTTGGCAAAGACATTTAGGATGGTCAAATATCGATTCCAGGAGAATATAGACTCCAATGTTAAGCTCAGAATAATAGGGAAAAGAGGTACTGATGGTAGAAGATACAACTTACCAATAATACCAGAAGTAGCTGCTTTGGTGGTTGGTGATTTTGAAGTTTCTGGAAGTGATCGTGATATCATTATAGAAACACAATGTGGACAGCTACAAAGGATAAATTAACTAAATGCTGCATATTTAGGACTACAATATCCTTTGTTTTTTCCTTATGGTGAAGATGGGTACAGAGAGGATATTCCTCTAAGTCATGGCGATGAATCATCGAGAGGAAGGCAATGTGTTAGCATGCGAGAATTTTTTGCTTATAGAATTCAGGAAAGAAAAGATGAAGTTCCCACCATTGTGTCTTCAGGAAGATTGTTTCAGCAATTTTTAGTTGATGGTTATACAATGATAGAATCTTCTCGGTTGAAGTTTATCAGGACTCATCAAAAGCAATTAAGAGTTTATTCTTATAAAGTCCTAGCAGATGCTATTTTGCATGGTGACATCGATCCTTCATCCCAAGGTAAAAGGATAATTCTACCTTTAAGCTTTATAGTAGGTGCACGATATATGGTTCAGACTTATCAAGATGCTATGGCAATATGTAAATGGGTTGGGTACCCTGATCTTTTTCTCACATTTACTTGCAATCCTAAGTGGCCAGAGATTACTAGATTTGTGGAGAGCAGAAACTTGAATCCTGAAGATCGTCCAGACATTTTAAGTAGGGTGTTCAAAATCAAATTGGACCACTTAATAAAGGATTTGAGAGATAATCAATTTTTTGGACAAGTAAAAGCAGGTACACAACATTTACAATTTATTTTAAATAAAGATGATAATTTATATGAATCAGATAATTGTTTTTTTAATAAACGTTTTTCATTTCCAATGCAGTGATTTATACCATTGAGTTCCAAAAATGAGGACTACCTCATGCTTATATCTTACTTTTTCTTCACGAGCATAATAAATTTCCATCTGCGTCAGATATTGATAGAATAATTTTGGCAGAAATACCAGATAAAGTGGATGATCCTAATTATTACAATGCCGTTAAAATTTAATGATGCATGGCCCATGTGGTTCTGCTAGGAAATCTTCTCCTTGCATGATGAATGGTAGATGTACAAAGCACTTTCCTAAAAAGTTTGTTGACGCAACAATGGTTGATGAAGAAGGGTATTCTGTTTATAGAAGAAGGGATAATGGTAGAAAAATTATGAAAAATGGTATTGATTTGGATAACAAGTATGTGGTGCCACAATCGCTTTTTATTATTAAAATATGGCGCTCATATCAATGTTGAGTGGTGCAATCAAACAAGATCCATTAAATATTTATTTAAGTATGTCAATAAAGGTCATGATCGTGCAACTGCTACTTTTGATCAAAGTACTCATGACAATGGTTCATCAACCGTTGATGAAATCAACATGTATTATGATTGTCGCTACATATCCCCATGTGAAGCTGCTTGGAGAATATTTAAGTTTTCTATTCACCATAGAGAACCATCAGTGGAAAGACTACCATTTCATCTTCCAAATGAACAAAATGATTTTCTCTGATGATGATCCAATTGATAATGTTGTCAATAGACCAAATGTGAAGGAATCCATGTTTTTAGGATGGTTTGAGGCAAACAAATTTTATTTGGAAGCAAGAGATTTGAATTACGCAGAATTCCCTCTTAAATTTTGATGGAACCAAAAATTAAAAAAATGGGAAAAGAGGAGAAAATCTGGATTTTCTATTGGGAGGATTTTCTTTGTTACTCCAGGAAGTGGAAAGATATATTATCTTAGATTGTTGTTGAATGTAATCAAAGGTCCAACTTCATATGAACAACTTAGAAGAATTAACAATCATGACTATCTTACTTTTAGAGATACATGTTATGCACTTGATTTATTGGATGACGACAAAGAGTATGTCGATGCTATAAAGGAAGCAAGTACTTGGGGAATGCCATCTTATCTAAGACAGTTATTTGTCATGTTATTGTTATCAAACTCAATGTCACGACCAGAAATTGTTTGGCAATCATCGTGGGAGTTATTGTCAGAAGATATTCTCCGTAAAGAAAGAACATTGTTGAGTAATCCAGGTATTAAAAGATAAAATTATTAGATTAAATTTTTTTTAGTGTTATATGTTAAACAAGGAAGAAATGTTAATACTTCATAACTTCTATAATATTTTACTTTGTTGAATTTGGTATTCATATAGATGAAGACCACTCTCTGTTTTTAACTATTGATAAAATCAATTTGTTAATTTTATAATACCAATCTTTTCTCGCTACATTTTATTTTTATATGTTCTAAACGACATCACAAATTTCAGCTTTCTCTTTTGAGTTATTGTAATACATGTAGTTAAAAGAACTAAAATATAGTACTCCAGATCAATGCTTAGATATGTTATTCTAAAACAAATTAATGATCTCTATGCAAAAGCAAACAAGCTACATATACATAAAACTACATGGTTGAATTTTAAATATGAGTATACATTTTATTTTGAAATCTAACATTTTTATGTCATACAGCGGCAGAGTTAACACATGATGAATTGAAAAATTGATGCTTGAAAAAGCTGGACAGGATTTTAAAAAGTTGTAGAAAAAGCTTTAACGATTTTCCGACAATGCCAAGACCATATTACAATGAGGAAGAATTTGATGGTGCTAACAGACTAATTAATGAGGATCTATAATAGGCGCTCTTTGACACAAGAGCATGAACAATTAGTAAAGAAATTAACAGTCGAGCAGAAGTCTGTTTATGATAAAATCATATCTGCAGTGAATGAAGAAAAAGGAGGGTTATTCTTTTTATATGGTCATGGAGGAACTGGCAAAACTTTTATCTGGAAAACGTTGTCTTCTGGCATACGATCTAAAGGCGATATAGTGATAAATATTGCTTCAAGTGTTATTGTTTCTCTTTTGTTACCAGGAGGTCGAACTGCACATTCAAGATTTGCGATCCCTCTAAATCCAACTGAAGATTCAACATGCAATATAAAATAAGGTAGTCCTTTAGCAAAGTTGATTGTGAAGGCAAAATTGATCATTTGGGATGAGGCACCAATGATGCATAAATACTGTTTTGAAGCTCTTGATCAAACTCTTAGAGATATTCTAAGATTTAAAGACCCATCAAATTTTGATCGGTCATTTGGAGGTAAAACAATTGTTCTTGGAGGTGACTTTAGACAAATCTTGCCTGTAATTACAAAAGGTACTAGGCAAGAGATTGTTAAAGCAACTCTAAATTCTTCATATTTGTGGCCGCACTATCAGCTTTTAAAACTAACAACAAATATGAGATTGCAAGAAAATAGAGCTGGTGCAGATTTGGATGATTTAAAACAATTTTCTGATTGGATTTTGGCAATAGGTGATGGAAAGATTGGATGTTCCATTGATGGCATTGAGAAAGTAGAAATACCCGACGATCTTATCATACATAATTGTGATGATCCAATATCTGGAATGTTAGAAAGTACATATTCTGATTTCTTGAGACATTTCACAGATATAAAATACCTTCAAGAAAAAGCAATTCTTGCGCCAACTCTTCAGATGGTGGAATCGGTGAATGATTACATGGTTTCTCTCAACAATAGCCAGGATAAATCATATTTAAGTTCGGATACAATTTGTATGTCCGATCATGCATTTACATCTTTGGAACATATACATACACCTGAATTCCTAAATAGTATTAAATTTTCAGGTATTCCAAATCACTCTATCACTTTGAAGGTAGGTGTTCCTGTGATGTTGTTAAGAAATATAGATCAATCGTCAGGATTGTGTAATGGTACAAGATTGATCATCAAAAAACTTGGAAATCGGGTAATTGAAGCCAGAGTATTATCAGGAAAAATGGTTGGAGACAAAGTTTTTATACCAAGAATGACACTTACTCCATCTGATGCAAGAATTCCTTTTAAGTTCCAAAGAAGGCAATTTCCAGTCATTCTATCTTTTGCCATGACCATCAATAAAAGTCAAGGTCAATCATTATGTAATGTAGGATTATTTTTGAAGAAGCCAGTGTTTACTCAGGGACAACTATACGCTGCATTTTCAAAAGTAACAAGTAGAAAAGGGTTGAAGATCGTATGTTATGATGAAAATAGGAAAGTAACAAATGAAGCTACAAATGTAGTGTATAAAGAAGTTTTCCGAAATTTAGAGGATAGAAGTTTTGAATGAGTAAGTATCAAATGAGTAGAAACAATGACAAGTTCATTGTACATACTCAGTATATAGTTGCTCATACTACAGAGAAAGATAAAGTTGAATGAGGTAAACATTCTTCCAAATTTACTTTACTTTGATATATCTTGTTGCAGCTTAGTCACATGTACTTTATTTGTTAAATTGTCTATCTATATTTGCAGTCAATCAATTCAATTAAATTGTGGACTTGCAAGAATATGGATTATCAACTATCAATTCCATTCATTGACCGCTACTAGGTATGAAATATTACTTAGAAAGAATTTTATTAAAAAATATATAATAGGAGTAATACTATCGCTTATCAATCACAACTCCAAGCTGCTGGGGAACTAAATATTTTTCAGTCTGGCATCAAATGTGGCACTGGTTATTTCTTGAAATCCAGTTCCAAGCATAATCGCTTCTATATCCATGTTAGTCACAATAGTTTTCAAGAATATTGAGAATTAATTTTATTCTAAGTTTCTCGAGAAACATTTGTTTGTTAAATGTTAAATATTTCATTGTGCATTTTTTTAACACTGGAGATCTAATAAAAGATCATGAATGCTGGACAAGGCCATATAACATGAAAACACCACAAATTGTACTACCGATAGATCAAAATAATCGTGAAACAGAGATTGTTGTTGAGAGGAACTGACGTTTAGTTGTATTATAGAAGGTGGGCTTCACTGCTTATTTTAAGAAGTATGAGTTTTGTCTTGATTTTTTCCTACATAAGCATGTTATAAATGATCGGGTATCTTTTCATCTCATACGTAGAAGTTTTAGCTAACAAATTCAATACAAGATTTAGTTACAATGACTGTTGCTTTATACAAAGGTTGTGCAGAAAATTTTCATAACTGATTTCAACTACCTTTTTTTCCTTCTCAATATAAGATGATTTACCAACTGTTAGTTCAGTCTTGGTAATTTTTGTTCATAGGGAATGTCCTGAGGAGTGCAGAGAAGTTGTATCATCTATGATTTTTGTAGCAGCAAGATTTGCCGACGTGTCAGAATTATGCCAACTAAGAAGTGTATGTACTGAGAGATTTGAAAATTCCCTTGAATGTTATGTCAGTAAAGAGGTACTGACTTATCTTTTCACTGTCATAATATTTGTGCTTAAACTTACAACTGTAACTTTACTTTTTTCCTCTAGCTTTAAAAAACATAATAAATTTTCTTTTATGACAGTTTGTTCAAAACTTAAATCGGAAGCTACAAAGGAGATGAAGCTTCAGTTGATGCAAGACATAGCATCAGATTCTGGTAAAGAACGTAATTCCAAGGCTTTAGAGTAGAAGCTTTATAATCCACTTGTATCAGAACAAGTAAGCCATGCATAGAACCTCATAATCTCCTCTTTGTGTTATGTCGTTCACTCTTTATGTTATGTCGTTCACTCTTTCAACATTCACAGGTCAATTTTTTTTTACAAGGGTGTACGATAAGAGTGCTATAAAGTGCAATAGGATGGAAGCACATACTAATTTTAAACTAAGCACATATGAAGGGGAATTAAATTCTGATACTGATAATAGAGGTAATATATTAAGGCTTTACCACAAATTTTAAATAATTTATGATTGTTTTCCCTTCTTCGCTTTGTAATTATCATGTTTAATTATATATTTTTCTCATTCGTGTTGGGCTGTCATCCCTAATTCATTGAACATGTAAATAACCCCATCTATTTTAGCTAATGACCAGAATGACATCACATGACCCTCTCTTTCGGCGTGTGACTTCTTCTTCGGTGTAAAGTTTCAAATCTATATCTCCTTTTTTGTTATGAGTCATATGTCTAGAATGTTGTTCATTTTTCCCATCTGAAAGTCTATGCGCTCTTTTACATTTATATTCATTCCTGTTTGGGCTCAGTTCGTTAGCATATTTATCAATATGATGGTAATATGACTGCTAGCAATTCATGAAACCTATGACTATTTCTCAGGTCCTTTTTGATTTGTGGAGTAATCTATTAAATGTTGCTTAACTTTGGTGCACTGATATTTTTAGATTGTTTTAGATATCTATTTGATAAAAAAACTAATCATCATTATGCTTAATTGAGAAACCTGTTATTATTTTCTCCAGATGTGTGAAACAGTACAAAAGAGAGTTGTTTTTTTCCTCTTTATTTTCTTTCTTTTTCTTGTGATCTGCAGAAGTAGTACAAAAATTTTATATATAGTAGTCATTAGACGAAATTCTCCTAACTAACCTTTTTAAGGCAAAGTTGCATCATTCTTTCTCCTTCTCTTTATCTTCTTAGAAACATATATAAGAATATCTTGGTTTGCAAAGTCACTTTACTACAAGCCAGCATGACATTTTATTGTAGCTACTTCGGAAATACTTATGTATAGTCCAATTCTTGATTTGTATAGGTACTAAAAGTATTACTTTTTATTCTAAAATTATGTTACTTTTAGGTGTTCTTTGTGAATCTCTTTTCTTTTTTGGCTTGCATCATTACTATTACTAAGTAAAACAGTACAAAAGAGGGTTGCCCTTTTTATCTTTTTAATCTGTAGAAGCAGTACAAAAATATTATAGCATTCATTAGACATACTTCTCGTAATTAACTTTTTGAAGCAAATTTGTTGTGTTTTAACTCCTCTTTGATAATGGTTTTCCTTAGCTTAGCTTTTCATCTTGCAACTTAAGGACTGATAATAGAAATGAAATCTATACAAGGATTAAGATTGTTCTGCTACTATTAAGAAACGCCTAGCCGTAAGAAAGGGGTGAAGTTCAAAGGTTTGAAGCTACATGGAAATATCATTATTCTTCAAACATTAAATACTTATAGGAGTTGTTTGACTTAAAATCTTCTATTGTTTTACGCCTCCTAATTTATCATTGTTCTAACATAAGTATTCAATAATTAATAGTGAATGATAGTTGAAACAGCGTATTCGATCAATAAGATTTAAGAATTTAACTTCCTGGTAAAAGCTTATGTTTACTTTTTTCTTTTGATTTTCTTTTTTCTCCTGCAAGAGGAATTGCTTATTATGATAACATTTGATCTTGTAGGCTGTAACTATACATTCCTTATTTAAGATATTGTGGTTGTAGCAGTAAGTGCTGACTTCTATTAAAGTAATTCATTTGCTTCATGTTTTTAGTATTCCAAATAGACGAGGGTGATGTAAATCTTATATTCTAAACTGGATTGCAAATGTAGTCTTATAGTATTTGTCCTTTAATCACGTTTTTTGCTTTCTACAAATTGCAGAGTATTTCTTCCAAACAAGTACTACTCTTTCAGCGTTAGTCAATATCCTTGATGAAGAAAGGATCGGAAAGACAATTGTAAATGTTGGATAATTTACTAGAGATTCGTCTTCTCCAGTAAATTACATCTATTCTTTGATATTGAATAGCCTCCATATGCCACTGGCAGCTTTTTTGGTTACAAGATTCAGAACATACTATATTCTTCAATATATCAGACTATAATGAAGTAGTTCTTATCCAATTCAACCTCCTGATAATTGAGATTCTTGAAAATTCTATTGATGGTAATTCAAGTAAGTTGGTCGATTTATTGATCAACTAATGTAGAAGCATACTTTAACTCCTTATGGATTAGTAGGAGTATTTTTTTGGTCTCTTTTTTTTTTTTTGTCAGGTAGCTTATTAAAAGTTAGTGGCAAGCCGCTGGATAAATTAGCAAAGCTAAATGAGTTAGTTGATTTTTCGCCTTACCAAGAAATTAATTTTTTTTATCATTATTATTATTATTATTATTACTTATAAATCATAATGAGGAATAAATATTTTACCGATCAAAAAGAAAATCAAATATTTCATGCTCAGGCCTTCTTTTAAAGAGCCGCTTGGGATCGGTCGGTGGCCCTTGGTAATAATAAATATTTGTCTTTTATTTTAATTATTTTGGTCGCAATTGCTAAAATTAATTTGCAATATGCATATGTTTTTATTATCTCTTTTCGCTCTTTTTTTCTTTGAATCGATCCGCGCATCGCACGGGTACGTCCACTAGTAAGTCTTTAAATATGGTTCGGAGTAAGCAAACCAACTCAACTGCAAAAACAAGATGCGCTCCTAACCTAGGAGCGGGTAAATGAAAGCAAGAACCATGTCCACTGATGAAAGAGCACGCTTTGAGTGAAAAGAGAAAGAAAGACTATAGACATGTCATATGTAGATCTTATTTCTCCTTCAATGCAGACGAAGCCAGTTCCACAACCAAACATGGACGTACACGAACTAATAGATGTAATTCACGTAATATAATAAAGAAAACAAAAAAAAATTAAATGCAGTGTCTCAATGATTATTCATATCTCAGAATATTCCTCTGTCAAGTTGACTGGTTTTCGACATGGGAGAAGGCTGAGGGGTTAATACTCTTGAGCAACAACAGTGGCCTCACCTCTGTCAAGTTGGTCATAGAAATTCTTACTCCTTTTCTGCATATCCCAATGCCACATCTTAAAAGCACCACCTGCTGCACATGCACACACAAAACCTATCACAATTTCCTTAATCAACATTGGACCTCCCAGCTGGATGTGTTGAACTCTTCCTCCCATTTTGTAAATTATCAAAATTCTGCACCACCATCCCATTCATAATATATTAGTCGATTAGAGAAAAGAAACACGTAATTCATCCCATTTTATCTTGACTAGATACTACTACTACAACAACGACCCAGTAAAATCTCATTAGTGAAGTGTAGGGAGGGTAGTGTGTACGCAAACCTTACCCCTACCCCGAGGGAATAGAAAGGCTGTTTCCGAAAGACTCTCGGCTCAGGAAGACGAAAAGAGACAATATCAGTACCACCAATAAAAACCATAAGAAAAATAACATCATGAAAATGAGAAAGTAGATGCAAAGCAAAAGCGATAGATAATACATAGACCTAGCACTATGGAATACGAAAGAGTAGTAAAACACAACACTGCCACTAACTGACTTCGACAAAAACCCTACTAGACTATCCTTACAAATGTATGAAGTAAGGAAAGACTCAATTACCTCCTAACCTACAACCCTAATACTCAACCTCCACAGCTTCCAATATAGAGGTTAAAATATTAATTTGATATATTTAGAACATTAGAATAGTGGAAAGAATAGCAACGTAATAATTGAAAAGTTATTTTTTTTTAAAAATGGATATTGCAAATCTGCAGCAGTTGCAATAGATCGCTTAACTGCCTAATAGGCTCATCGCTGATCCAGTTTCTTGGTTGTATTTTTGCTGAATCTGGTAGCCTATTTTTCATATCAAAACTATAAAGAAAGTCTAATATTTATTCTAGCCTTAATCTACTACTACAAAAGCAAATTAGGAAAAGATGCAATAATATTACAACTGAGAGTACATAAATGGGAAAAGTACGTACCTTGCTCTGGAAAGGGTGAATCAAAGAGAGAATAGAATAGAAATGAGAAAACAAGGAATAGAGAGAGGCAGATAAGAAGAGAGTAACTCTCTACAGTTTCGGATCAAGTAGTTATCATTGCCACCATACTCTCCTATATAAAAGCTACAATGGGAAATTCAGTTATTATATATTCATCCTTAGATAAGCCCTAGGTTACATTAATAATAATTTTAAATTGTTTTTACCTACGTAATTTGACTTGCTCCACCCGATTTTCATGTTACCAAGTACCGACCTATAAATTTGATAGTGTCTTTTTTGTTTTTGTTTTCGGGAAAGACCGATACAAACGGGTTGAGTGTTTTTTTTTTTTTTTCCTGCATTAGGACTTCCTCCATTATTTCTCAACACTATCATAGATTAGTGCGATGTCTATTTCCAAAATTTAAAGATTTATTTTTGGATGTGCATTTTTTTTGTCAAGCAAATATTTATACAGTGTTATAAACAGAGTTTTATTTAAGGTGAATGCCTATATTTTAAAGAGATTGTACGAATTTTACTTGGTGGCTAAGTACTCTTTCCCTATAAATATAGAGGTCCTATTCCATTGTAATTTATCCAAAATCAATAAAAATTCTGTCTCTCTACTTTTCTCTACAATACTCTTCTTCTTCTTTTATTGTTTCATAACATGTTATCAACACGAGACTCCAACCAATTGAGTACAGGCTTTGGGATACGTGCATGGTGCTCAACTTGTACATAATATTGAGCATACCGATTGTCAATTATTCCATGATTCATTCAGGAATAAATTCTGGATTTAAGATAAGTATTTACTTTTTTTTTCTTTTAAATTCTTGAAATTCTATAATTTGATTTTAAATACAAGCAAAGACAATGAATTTTGATTATAACTGTAACGACCTGACCGGTCGTTTTGAGCTTTTGCACTTTGCTCGCCAGTTCTTGGGCATGATTAGCCCTGTGTGATGTATTATGACTTATGCAAATCGTCGATTTTGGTTTTCAGGATAATCTGAATGAATTTAGAAGAACAATTCTCACTTTGAAGCTTAAAATTTGAAAGATTTGACCAAGTTTTGACTTATTGGTATATGATCTCGGATTGGAATTTTTATGATTTGGTTAGTTCTGTTAGGTGATTTGGGACTTAGAAGCGTGATTGGAATGTGTTTTGGAAGTCCGGAGTAAATTTAGGCTTGAATTGGCGAAATTGGAATTTTGGCGTTTTCTGGTTGGTAGGTGAGATTTTGATATATGGATCGGAATGGAATTCCAGAAGTTGGAGGAGGTCCGTTGTGTCATTTTTAACGTGTGTGCAAAATTTCAGGTCATTCGGACGAGGTTTGATAGGCGTTTTTATCAAAAGCGGAATTCGGAAGTTTTTGGAATCTTAGGCTTGAATCTGATGTCATTTGGTTGATTCGATGTTATTTTAGGTATTTCAGAGATTGGTATAAGTATGGATAGTGGTATATGACTTGTTCGTGCTCTTGGTTGGGATCCTGGCGGGGCCTCGGGGTGATTTCGGATGGTTGACGGAAAGTTGGAGTTGAGAAGTTGCAGCTGAAGCTGCTGAAGTCTGTCATAACCGCACCTGCGGCTTGGGGACCGCAGATGCAAGCCCACAGAAGGGCAATTAGGGTCACAGATGCGAAAATGGGCAAGAGGCACTGGAACCGCAGATGCGGAAGATTGAGCGCACCGGCGATAATGCAGGTGCGGGAGTTTGATTACAGGTGCAGTCTGGGGCGCTTAAGGGATTTGCGCATAAGCGCAACTGGGACCGCAGGTGCGGGTTCGCAGGTGTGAGATTTTGTACCGCAAAAGCGGTTTAGCTGGGGCAGAATCTATATATTTGGTTCTTTGCAATTTTTGTGTGGTTTTTCGCCATATTTCATTCGGGAGAAAGCTTTGGAGAGCAAATTGAAGGGGGAATAGGATTTCATGGAGGTAAGATTTTTGGACCCTAAACTTATTTCTATGATGAATTTTAACATTGTAAGCTTGAAATATATGGAAAATCAGTAGCAAAAAATTGGGGGTTTAGGGCTTGGAAATTGGAGACCTTAATCTAGGGATTTGAGGGATCATTTGTGGTCGGATTTTGGTATTATTGATATGTATGAACTCGTGAGAGGATGAGTATTCCATTGATGTTAATTTTGTCAGATTTCGAGACGTGGTCCCGGGGCCGGGTTTGGCCAATTTCGGGATTTTTGAGGTAAATTGAATATTTTCGAGTGGGGTTTGTTCTCTTAGCATATTTTGACGGTATAAATCTGCTTTTGGTTATATTTGGAGCATCCGGAGGCCGAGTCGAGAGACAAAGGCATCGCAGACTAGAATTTGGACCGGATAGAGGTAAGTAATGATTGTAAATGTCTGTCCTGAGGGTATAAAACCCCGGATTTCACATCGTTGTACTACTTTGAGGTGACGCATACGCTAGATGACGAGCGTAGGGTCGTGCACCATTGGGGATTGTGACTTAGTCTGTCCCGTATGACTGTTAAACCGTGTATTTGATTGAAAACTATTTGATATCATTGTATTTTAGAAATTATTACCATGTGTTTAGGCTGAATGCCATCTTTGGGCTTCGTGCCAACTATTTTGGACCCTTAAGGGATTTTTACTACTATTTCTCACTGTTTTGACTTCATATTTGTACTTAGTCATGCTGTATTCTACTATTTTCATAACTCAACCATATTTACTCTGTTTTGACATATTAAGTGATATTTGGGTTGAGCATCATATTTTACTGTGCCCGAGTGGCTTTGAGAGATTTTTTTTGACTGAGTGAGGCTGAGGGCCTGTGTTGTGAGGATATTATGGAATCGAGTTGCGCACCACAACAGTGTAGTACTGATTTATGATTATGAGGCCGAGGGCCTGATTTGTTACGCCACGAGGTAGCTTAATATGAGGCCGAGAGTCTATTTGATTATGCCACAAGATGGCTTGTTATTGCACTTGGGCCGTAAGAGGCCCCTCCCGGAGTTTGTACAGCCTCAGTGAGCGCGGGTACCCAGTGTGAGTGATGTGATGTAGCCCAAGGGGCTGTTATTTATTCATAATGTTGCCTGAGGGGCTATTGTTGATTCATGTTGTTGCCCGAGGGGCGGTTCTTTATTCATGTTATACCCAAGGGGCTGATTACGAGTGGTTGTGAGGCAGCCCGAGGGGCTAGTTCTGTTGATATTATGCCCGAGGGGCAATTTATGATACATGTTTTACCCGAGAGGCTGTTTACGTTTGCTATCATTTTTACTCACTATTTTATCACTCGTTTGAAACTATTGGAAGTTGTTTTACAAGGTTTTACCGAAACTGAGCATGATTTTTGAAGTAAACGATTTCTATATTGTGTTGGAAATGTCCTGCATTTGTTGTAGTGATTTGACGTGGTTTATGTGTTTTCTTACTGCTCAGCTTTCATTTACTTTTATTACTTACTGAGTTGGCGTACTTTCCCTACACCTTGTGTGCAAATTTAGGCATTTCTGAACCTGGTTGCGGGTGTTGATTGCTCAGTGGCAGAGTCATCGAAGTTAGCGAGGTAGCTGCTCGACATTCGTAGGACTGCTTTTCTCCCTCTTGTCTTTCTTAGACTATATTTGGTACATTTTTAGACTCCTTGTTGTATTCAGACCTTAGTATATGCTCATGACTTGTGACAACCCAATGTCAGGCTTGTGTATTTATTCTGCACTGTTCATTTAAACTTACATTACAAGATACCTGATTAATTAAAGGCTTAAAAATGATTGTTATTGATTAAATGGTTAATTCGAGAGTTGTATCAGCAGGCCTAGTTTCAAGATAGGCTCCATCACGACCGGATCAGTTTTAGGGTCGTGACAATAACTCTATTAGAGTTTGCGAGAAATTATAACTACCCAAAGTGATAAAACTTCTATGTCTTGCCATGATCAAATTCATGTATGATTATGAGCAAAGAATTGAAAACCCGTCTCATTGAATTTGCTTCATTCCCATTCCCTTAAGAGAATGTGATAGCAGTATGTGATAAATCTGAAAGAAGACAAAGTTATTACTATGAATGTATTAATAGATATGGACGTGGCAATAGATGAAATTATAATCGTCATCACTGTGGTAATAATAATAATAAAGTTTCTCAAAATAATCCCTCACTTTGTGAATATAATATTTGTCATTGATTTGACATGAGATTTTGTAAAGCACATATAGATGATTATGGTCCATTCATGATGTGAATGTGATAATATGTGATTTATGAATACATATTCATTCTTGGAAGAATATGAATGTGCTAGTGGTAGTCAATATACTAGACTCACCTCTAGAATGAGGTTTGAGGGGAAATAAGAAAATAATATCATTATTGTAGCATGAATGGTCATTGGTCACATATCTATTGTACGCAAAAATATTTTGGCGATGTGATTATTAAAGGGCAATAGTAATGCAAGCAACAGATCTTGTATAGAATTCTGACCATGACCATAATGGTATAACTTTCT